ATTATTATTATTATTATTATTATTATTATTATTATTATTATTATTATCACACGCATTTAAGTACATAGAAAGAAGTTTATATATGTATATGATATATAAGTATACATTATGCACACACTACCGACGGCGACGAGATTGTCAAGAACGTTGACTCGGTTTCGGTGCCAAGGAGACTGGCAGCCGTTACGACTCGTCACTCAACGCCAGCAATTACGAGATATCGAATAAACTGCACAGATGACCGTAATACAACTGGCTTATGAAAAAAAAAAATTTAATTTTTAATAATTATCTCCGAAATGAAAATAAAACTGTGTACGTACAATGCACATTATTTTATGCCAACCGTGTATCGTTTGCGCCAAACCAATGTAATTTTTCCTTTCAGGCCACCGCATCGCCGAGCCATACGGATTCAAGTGAAGCAATAAATAAAAAACGCAACGTAAATGATACACAACCATATAATATTACCCACACCGATGAATGGAATATCATTGCCGTTTTAACAGGTATTGGGCACTTTTTTCTTCACTCATCTACACTCGTCTAAATTGTCAGTGAAATTTTAAATTCAGAGTGAAATCGAATGAAATACCTACTCGTACATACAAAGTTGGTTCCAATTATGAAGTCTATAATGTTATTTTAAACCTTTTTTTAGGTACTGAATTTACATTAAGAATCTTATATAGCATATTGGTATCTCATAAAATCAAAAATTGTACCAGAATGATATTTCATAGACAATAGATTTTAGATTTTATCAGAAGTAGTTCTAGTTTCAACGATAAATTGTAAATAACGTATTTTGGAATTTTTTCCAGCATTTTTTTTTTTTTTTTTAAATAAGTATATTTTTATTTTAAGATCATATTATAAATTATATTAAAAAATAAATTTACTTTAGTAAGATATTCAACTTATATATTTTAGCGTCCTTCGATTTCAATCGTTTATTGAATAACTTGATTTATCATTACTTTCAAATACGTATAAAGAAAACGACAAAGACATTATTAAGGATAAATTCCTCGAATTCATGCAATCAAAGTTCCTTTATCTTATTATTTTACTCCTATCAACTATCAGTGAAAAAAATCAGTTGCATCCCATCAACATTTTTGACAGAAAAAAATTAGTCACAGAGTTAAAATAACTAGATATACGCCCACATTTTATGATCCGTTTTAAGAACTTCCTAGATGGGTTATAAATAAAATGCATGTATTTTATCTCATATGACGCGGGACATCGCTAGTGATGATAAACGTATTTGGGACGTAAGGTTAGATAAGGATGCACTTAAAACGAATTGTTAGACACCCGTCATGTTTTTGGACGAAAAAAGTTAAGTCTATATCCTGTAGCTACATTATAAGACGTGTTTTCGTGGTGTATTACAAAATACAATAATAAATTATGAGATTAATGACATTTTTGTATTTGCAGTACTTAAATCATAATATAACATATATATTCATTCTCGTATGTTTTGTATACTATTTTTTACGCCATTTATGTAACTGTTTGGAAAATTTTGGTATACATTGAAAGAAACACCACAGAAGCTTATTAATAATATTCTAAAATTATCATATAAAATGTAACATGAAAAAAATCGAATTAATAAGATTATTTTAATCATCGCTACCAGTTTATTCGGACACATAAATCTCAATGTTGCCATAATCTGGTTTGTATTTTACCGTAGACCAGCTCGTCTTGATTTTGCTAAACAAACAATGAATACTCGATTTTATAAATATAATTCTATTTAAATAATCACACTACACTCGCACTTGATGTCTAAGTGGTGATCTAGACAAAAAAAAATTGTCCAAGAGAACGATTTATCATTATCCATAAAATTAAAATAAATAACGTAGACAACTTCAACACACATACTTGCAAGTATTCCTTGGATTGGAGGCGTAATGAATGATGTTATAGAGTTTTGTCGATTATATCGCGTATTAACTATTAGCAGTATTATTCATCTTCATCGTTAATCAAGTGTATAAATCGGTGGCATGCCTGATTTTTTCACGAAAACAAATTTAAGAAATCAGCCGGACTATTGCGGGTGTACAAGACACACACTTTTATGTACAGGTGGCACATAATTTTGTTAAACCGAGACGAAACAATATTGCTACAACTCTATTTATTTATATGGTGAAACGATCTAAGTATAGAAATCACACTGATATCTTATCAAACGTGATCTCCTTGAAAATTGGAAATCGGTAGTATGTTTTCGAGTATATAGTTTAGTGAAGATTTTTTTTTTCGAATACGTTTTATATTTGCACTCAACCGTCGTCCATATAATCATAGAGTGATAGAGCTAACAACGCGTCATTATGACCCAATATTACTTTCACTGCGATGAGCACGATATTATAACAAATGGCAAACATGATAACGCACGAAATGAAAATAAAAATGTATGTAAATATAATATTATATGTATAATATATATATATATATATATATATATATATATAATATACAATAATAATAATAAAAATATACGCATTCGACAGTAGATCAAGGATCAGGGGAACATTCTAACTGTTATAGCTGTAATGATAACATTATATTTGTTAATCTACTCACCAATCACCAACGTGAAGATTCGTTGTTGTACCGATCCGGTGGTGCATCAATTCGGCGTAACGATAGTAGAAGCATTGCCCCGCTGCCGTTGACGCTTACTTAAAGTTGGCGACTGATTACTCAAAACTATGATCGACGATCTTCGCGTAAAGACTTTGACCGTGATAAGTTCATTTGACAGGTATAAGTGGAAAAATCCCGAATAATTATTGCGCACGAGGAGAGTATAAATATACACGATCCAAATAAGCAGCGTTTGTTCTTATGCGATCGCGAATAAACGAGTGTACTTACGGTTATATTTTACTTTGATATTGATGTCGTATACGTTACGTGTGTGCCTATGTATTTGCACGTGATTTCTGTTGAGAAAACGCGTTAGAAAAACACAACAACGAGGGGTACGCAAACTACGTTTAACGTAATGTATTGTAATAAATCTATTGTTGCGTTTTACCTCCAGACGACGGCGTGTCGTACGAGTACTTAGTTTTTCCCTTTTTTGAAAATGGAAAATAAAAATAAAACCACGTACAGTGTTATGTTACGTTGACAAAACCGAAACGAGATATAAAACAACATCAATATTATTCTAATTACGGGCACTGAACTCGCGCTATAATGCGAGCGACACCGACTCGATTCAACGCACTGGCATTACTAATTGTCGAGAGACTGTGTTCAGAGTAGTAGACGCGGTAAACGGCCAGATCAGCTGATCGGCCGCCGCCGCCGCCGCCGCCGCCGAGTTGTTACCGTGGCAGTCAAACGAAGTGTACACTGCGCTGTGGTATACGGAGGAGGCATACGCGGCGGCGAAACATCTCGTGCGGTACGTCGGCAGTAAACGCTCCATGGTAACGGCGGCGGCGTAGGCTCTTTAGAAGGCAACAGCATCAGTCCCCACGCGCTACGAGGTTCCACTCTGCCCGTACCAGTGCGACGGGTTTTTTTTCCGAGGGGATTTTGCGGGCGAATGACTCATAATACGGTGTACGATAGGGTTCGCACATGATGCGATCATGTTCGCCACCATTATGATGCCATACAGATTTTCCCGCGGACCGTGCTTCGACAGGCATAAACGTACGTTCACATCCCATAGAAAAATTGAAATTATTGTAATGGTTATAAAGCTAATAAACAGTGACGAACACACATTTATGATTCTAGGGTTCTCCCCTCTTCTTCCCGGAGTATCTTCTTTTTCCCAAAGTTTAATTGTTGATTAGTTTTTCCATTGATTTTAGTATCAGTCAATAGTGAAAACCCTAATCTAAATATAACCCTCCCACTAGATATGTATTTTTAAATCCTTAAAATTATATACAAGCCCTTACTTTTGATTCAGATAATTGAGATACAAGGTAAATAAAAATATTATACATTTATAAGAATTATTAAAATGTTGTATAAATCATATTTTTACAAAATCTATTAAATATTGATAAAATAATATTATTTCACAATAAATTTATACCTAATAATCAATAAATATTTTTTATGTATTTACTATAATTATTTTTTTTTTTAAATCGATTAATAAAATATTTATACCTTTAAATAATAAGTTCAATAAATGCTTGGAACGAATTAATTGATAATTTAGTTACACAAAGTTAATAGTAATAATATAAGTTGTAGATTTTAATTTTAATTTTACCTCTATTGTATTAGTACCTACTACCAAATTTAATAAGTGCGGCTGTAGTCTGTTATAATTACTTATATTATTGTATAATATAATATTGTGATATAATATTGTTTATTTTAAGCTAAACGTTTTAAGGAAAATTAAAAATATTTTAATTCCGTTGATATGCCTATAGTTATACCAAATTTCCATGTTACGCGAAGTTACACACATATACGTAGTTTATACAAATAGTAAATTAAAAATGTACATTTATAATACCGACTTATTCGAAGTTATATTCCAGTTTCTGTGTTTTTTTTTTAAATTACTTAAGGCTGCAAAGAAAACAATTTAATAATTTTCATGAACAACACCTCCAATTATTTATTTTTTTTTTTTTTTTTTTTTTTGTGGTAAAACTATACAGTTTAATGAGCTTGCAAATTAAATTGTTCACTTTTTTCAACTTTATTAATTTGTTACAGTTTAATGATCTGAAATATATTTATGGAAACTTGAATTGACAACAAAGCTGCTTTGGTCTATATGTAACTAAAATATAATATACAATTATATTTGACGTACATTTTTTAAAAAAATAAAAGTAAATTAATCAAATAATATTTGGCTTGATATTACGAGTACTTATTATTGTTGGTACATGATTAACAAGCCGATTTATAAAATAATTATTTCTCGCCGACTAGTTATCAAATGTTCTATACAAATTATTATTAATACTAAAGCTAAACATGTAAACTGGAATTCCTACATTTTTTACTGAAGACGCCACTTACTCCGGCTCATTGTCCTTCACTGTCATAGTCGAGATGCGTGTGGTCTCTGACAGTGACGGTTTTATGAGGAGAAGGGTCCAGGGCGTCTGGAACCCCTAGATCCCGAGTTTAGGTTGTGATATATTATGTTCTTGAGACGCTAGGGTTTTGACTAGCTATTACGATTTTTATACGTGGATATACGCTTATAAATACATTTGGTGACTCCAACATTAATATTTCGTATATTTGAATGTTATTACAGCTATTTTGATATTTATATTTTCTCTGAAATTACGAAGCACGACGTTTACGATATTTATTTTTTGTGATAATTATGGCTAAGGACTTCATGCCCTTATAAACCTTAAAATATGTATACATTTATGTCCTAAAGAATCAATAAATATGCTATTAAAATATGCATTTAAAAAAATTTATATTTGTGATAATTAATTAAATAAAAAAATTAATTTTTAATAAATAATAATAATATTTATAGATATGATAAATATGATCTGAGGTAATTATTTTCTTTTTTCAAAATTGTTTTCATTTTATTTTGAGTTTTTGTTTAAAACAACAAATTTAAAATTGTTTTAAAAATAAATTAAACTGAAAACATTTTTCTATTTTTATTATAGTACTAATTACTAGAGCTCTTAAAACACGTGTCACGGAATTCACGTGTACACGTGAAATACATGTTTATCCAAAATATATATCCATTTTTACAATGGTAAAATTAGTAATTTTATGTTATACACTTGAAGTTTTAATAAAATATTAATAGTACAGTATTAAGTTAAGGATATACGTTTTTATTTTGGATTTTACACGTGACACGTGACACGTGAATTCCGTGAATTCACGTGTATTAAGAGCTCTACTAATTACCAAGGCTGGGCAAGACAACGATTTTTTTTAACTCGTTAAGTTATTTTGAAATATTAATGTTAAGTTGAATTAAAAGTTACTTATATTTTTTTCGTTAACTCGTTAAGTTAAAAGTTAACTTTGAAAAAAAAGTAACTTAACTTAGTTTAAAGTTAAAATTTTCTAATTTGCAAAAATAAAAAATTTCATACATAATATTAGTATTTATACGCTCAAGAAAATTACTGGGGAAATTTTAAATGATATATAAAAGTATTAAATAGCTAATTAATAACTATTAATAACTAATTAATTAATAAAGAAATAATAAACTTTTACAGAAATATAATAAGCTAATAAAGTAATAAACTAATAACAATATATTATAAATTCTAACGAGATGTGAACAGACAACATGCTAGTTGAATAATGAAATTATACCACATTTATTTTGTGATTAATCCCCCATCGACACTCGCTCTTATGGTATTTACTATTTTCACAGAATATTCTTAAGGGGCCCACACATGATCAGTTTAACGGGGCAGTTTATCTCTGAAATTAACCGAGTAAAAATTGTACCGTTATCTGAACTGAAGGTGTGTAGGATACATTAGTTTTTCCATAAGTTTATGATCACAGTTCTCTCAGTTTTTTCTGCAGTGTAGTCACAGTCTACTGGTATACTGTATGTGTATGCAGATGACAATAGGTGACCGAAAAAAAAGAGCAGCAGTGTGTTGTGTAATTGCAGCAGTGCTACTTGAAGAAGAAGATAAGCGGAAGAAAAGGCCCTGTGAACGCTGGAGCAAGGATTGGTTTCTGCAAAGAAGTGTTTTGCCCAGCGATTGTCATTTGTTGAACGAGTTGAAAGAAGAAGGGGAAATTGCTGATTTCAGTAATCACCTACGAATGGATGACAACATTTGTCAAGTGCTCTTGAGAAAAGTTGCTCCCCTTATCGAAAAACAAAATACAGTCATGAGAGACGCAATACCTTCTCATGTGAGATTGATAGCAACGCTTCGGTTTCTAGCGACAGGGAGAAGCTATGAAAATCTGAAATTTTCAATGCGAGTTTCCCCTCAAGCACTCGGAGATATAATCATAGAAACCTGCTAGCAATACAGATAGCACCACGAGATTTCATTCAAGTAAGTGTATCTCAATTACTTATATTACATATTCACATAAAAATTATCATGTAACTATTGTTTTGGTTTTATAATGATATACTATAATTACACTACACTAATTAAGATCGCCTTAAATAAAGATAAAACATACCATACAAAACAACTATAAGAAGACTTTAAGGTTCTAAATATCAAAAACTTATATTTTAGATCAGCAGTTCTTTTCTTAAAAAAAGTGTGTTCCCTGGGGATTTTTATTTTGTAATTGGATAATTGTAACCATTTGATTTATACAAAAGAAAAAAATGAATAAGTTGATAAATATATTTATTAAAGAAACATTTAAGTTCATCAAAATTATTAGCTAAATATATATATAGATATATATGTATTATATAATATTAGTTTTACAATAGAGTATGTTCATCAAAAATTTTCTTCATTTATATAGCTGAATCCTTCGATTACGCTCGCAAAAGACGAGTTGGATGTAGATGGATTTGAAGAGGAGTTGGTTGTAGATGGATGTGAAAAAGAGTTGGGTGTAGATTGATACCATGAATGCGATTGTGTTGTAGTTGGCGGAAGCTCCGATGAGTGAACCACATAGCTGCGTCTGTTCAAAAGTCCCATTTGACCATCAAGCAATGTTTCATTGATAACTTTATCAGCAAACATGAGCTGTTGTGGACTGAGTTTTTTTAATTTAACCGCGTAACCCTTCGCCAATGTTAGGAACTCATCGTCTTCAGCTTCCAAATACCGCGTGGCTTTAATAAGAAGATCGTGTGATGCAGGAATGGTCTTCTTTTTTTTTTGCTGGGTGGTGCAGAAAATGAAGTGTGTGTTAGCCCAGGTGAAATAAATTCAGATAAAGGAACTGAAGCCTATAACATAAATAAAACTGTTTGGTCAAAATTACATATTAAAGTTGAAAAAATTACTAATAATTTAATACATCGCCATTACATTGATCCACTCGATGCCTCTAATACACAACAGTATTACACATTTGGTTATTTTTTTTTTTAAACTAAGTAGTTTCAATTTCTAAATTTATGGTTTTAGATTCCTCAAAGTGAAGAAGATTGGAAAAAGGTAACTCATGAGTTTCAAGAAAAATGGTAATTCCCACACTGCCTCGGTGAGGTCGATGGTAAACATGTTCAAATAAAAAAACCGGCAAATTCAGGCTCTCGGTACTTCAATTACAAAGGTACTTTTAGCGTCGTATTAATGGCTGTAGTTGACGCTAATTACGAAATTTTAATGGCTGATGAGGGAAAAAATGGAAGAATTTCGGATGGAGGCGTGATTAAAAATACATCTTTCTACAACAGTCTTATAAAAGGTGAACTAAACATTCCACCTCCTGAACGCCTTCCAGGAAGCAACAAGACTGCTCCATATGTTTTCATTTCAGATGAGGCTTTTCAGTTGACGAATAATTTCATGAAACCATATGCTTTGTCTGTGCTTAATAATGAAAGACGCATTTACAACTATCGTCTATCGAAAGCAAGGAGAGTCGTTGAAAATATTTTTGGGATTCTAGTATCTAGGTTCGCAGTTCTTGGAAAACCCATCAATCTACGACCAACAAAAGTAAATGCTATAGTTCTAGCTTGTTGTTATTTACATAATTTTCTTAAAAGACATTCCAGTGGTTATGTCAACAATCAACATGCAACTTCTCAAATTTCACAAGGAATAGGATTGGATGGGCATGTATTTGGTATGAGAAGCAACAGCAGTTCAGCTTCTTCTACAACAGCGAAAGTACATCGCGATACTTTCTGTAGTTACTTCAATAACGAAGGAAAAGTTGAATGGCAAGGTAAAATTTAAATTAGCAACTCATAACTACTCTAATGTTTATTATTTTACATTATAATATATTATTATGGAATGTATTTAAAAAAAAAAAAAAGGTAGTATTTATTTCGCTTTTTTCATCGCTCCATTCCGAAAATCGAAAAATATCCCTCGGCTTGTTATACAACCACCTCAAGTAGGTGACAGGGACAAAACGAATATGGATATGTGAAAATTTAAATTAAAAATTTTATCACGATTTTCAAATTTTTTTTTTTTTTAAACCACTTGTATTTTAGATTCTGAATGGAGTGATGAATTTATTTATTTTAATTATGTGTGTAATTAAATTTGCCGACTTTATAATATTAAAAAAATTATAAATTTAATATTTATGGACGATAGACCATCAACAAAATATTTTTTTGGAACAAAACATGTAAGGTTTAGTAATGAATAATGATATCATGATGATAAACAAAGAACATGAAACATTTAAATTTACCCCAATAAATAACAACATTAAAGATAGTAAAACATTAATTTATTTACTTATCCTATAAGTTACCTATCAATAGGTTTAATAGAATAATAATATAAATCTAATTAAATAAATACTTATAATTTATCTCTTATAAAATCTTAAGGTAAGATTATTATCTAGGCAACCTAATGGGCTTATATTTTAATTTTAACGCGAGTTATGAGTATTTCAAGATTTATAAAAATGTAGTGATACCCGCACGTCCTCTTATTAATACTTTTCAGAACTTATTTATAAAAACATAAAATTGTATCTTAAATATAATGCATTATATATTATAATATTAAAAGATATCTTCGATTAAGATTAGCAATCATATCAACAGCTTCGTAATCTAAGACCGTAGCTTTAGCATAGTAATACTAATTAGTGATTATAGCATGCTAGTCGGTAATTGACGTTCAATGTTATCAAAGCTAACAATTTGTCGTATTTCTATTTTTTGAATTTCTCTAGATATTCCATAGAAGTGTTTTGGGTAATAACGATTGACATATTATTAAGCCGATGAGGAGCCAGTGCTTCCCAACATTTTAATAAACCGGGAATGTGTATTTAAAATAGAATATTATCTGATTTCTGAGTACAAAATAGTAAATACAAATTTAGTATTTACAGATTTTAGCATTTGATCATCGGACAAAGAATTTGCACAATTGGGGGTCTATATATACTTTATTTCCTACATGTTTGCTGAGATGCCCGACAGCGACGAGTAATTTTAGTAGTTATTTTCGTAATACTAAATAACCAATGTTTAAAAGTAGAGTATATTTAAATTTAAATTAAATAAAAATAAAAACAGAATAAAGAGCCCTTTCACTTACCGAATTCTGGCCGTTTTCATTATCCACTGCATTGTCCACTGCAAATGTTAACTCACTCGTGTCCGGAGTTTCTTGGTCTACCAAAAACATCAATTCGTTGAAGTACCAGAGGCTTGGAACATATACATCATCGCTTCCCGCGCTGGATCTTTTTGAGTCGTTTACCTTCTTCAATTCTTTCCGAAAAGTTGATCGAAGGTTGTTAATTTTTTTAACACTATCACGAACCGCATCTGGCTCTAGAGGTTTAAGTTTTTCAATTAAAACATTGTACGCTGCAGCTTTTTTTATCCGATTCGAATATGAAGGGCATTCTATATCCCACAATTCTGGTAAACTTCTGTATGCATCAATAAAATACAAAAGTTGTTCTCTTTTTTTTTTTTTTGCCATGGCGGCGACAACAGTTGAGTAGTAGAATAGTTACAAAATATAATTAATAAATAATACAAAATAAACTTAGCGGATATCGTGCGTGGCTAAAAACAACTAGAGAAGACTGTGCAAACTGTTCGATTAACTGATCTAACTGCGCCGTTAATCGGTGCAAAGTAGACTATCTCGCGCAGGCCAATAGCCTGCGTAAAAATCCACCAGAACTGCACAGTTTCCTCAGGTTATCGCTCAGACATGACGTCATACGTGATAAACTGCACAGTTAAACTGATCGTGTGTGAGGTCCTTTAGGATTGCTATGGGTTTATAGTGTTTAAACAATAACAATGTTATAAAAATATCGGAGTTGCCCGATTGCGGCCCGAATTCAGGTAGTCGTATTTTATCCCAAATATAAGTATCCTGATTGCGTCCAGACACACATTGGTTCACAAAATGTTTAATATTTATTTTAAAAGTATAATTACAAAATTGCAGTAAAAAATAGTAAAATAGTAAAATAATAAATTTTTTACAATATAAAAATATATGAAATACAATTATGTCAGTAAATAGTTATATTAAAATAGTTATATTAAATATTAAAATAATAAATTGTTTACGATAAAAAAATAATTAATAGTTGTTGTATACATCTATGGAAATTACCATACCGAATATCGGTTATCGTGTGAATCGTGATTACGATGTCAAAATTCGTATCGGACGCAATTGGGATATTTATTTGATTTTGATAACCACTTGAATAGTAATTCCTACCTGCTATGTACGGGCCGCAATCGGGCGACGCCCAAAAATATAATAGTAAAATATAGCCCATATAATGACTATAAATTTATTTTTCATATTATTTTCGTTTACAGGAAATTGATATTAAAATAGTAAATTATAAATATACTAAAAACTTAATTTAATAATTTGCATTATTCTTTGTTAATTAATTTAAAGGTAACACGTTAATCTTAAAAAAAAATAACTTATTAAGTTAAAAGTTAATTTGTAAAAAAAGTAACGAGTTAATTAACTTAACGTTCTAACTTAATTTTAACTTTTAACTCGTTAATGCCTAGCCTTGCTAATTACAATTATCTTGAGAATTACATTGGACTATAAGATATTTTCTTAAGTTGGAAAATTTAAAGAACCACCTGTTATCAGTCAAAATACTTTTATATTTAGAAAAAGAACGTTCCACGTCTACGGAACTTATGAAAATGGTAAAACAAACTTAAAAAATGGTAGGTAACTAATATTAATATCTGCAGGCAATCTATCTATAGATTTATTTTTTTCATTTAAAATTTTCGATATTTTTTGTAGTTGATAAAATCCAATCTTTTTCTCCAAAACTTTTTTAATTTTGTCATCAAAATTGCCTTAGCTTGTGTAGATCCGTAAATTTTTGTTGAATGTTTATGTTTTTTTATAGTCATAATTATTTAAATATAGTGTCGCAACTTGGATTTAAAGTCTAATGATAAATGAAAAAATAAATCCATAATTTTTTTTTAATAAAATTAAAAACCTTACTCCTTCATATAAATAATTGTCAAATATGCACTTATACAATGAAAAATTGACAAATATGCCCTTATTAATGAAAAACAGTCAAATATGCAAAATATGCAATTATAAATTTTAAATATAAACTTGTATTGAAACAATACAATATGAAAAAAATTTTTAAATTACATAACTATGTTTTTTATGATTATTTAAAAAAATGCCAACTTCTAGAAGTTCCGAACCCTAGTGATAAAATATAATTGCGTTCGGCCGTTCGGAGAACGTACATTAACAGCGATAATTGGGCAAATGTAAACTGGGACCGCGATTACCTTTTTTGTTGTAAATTCGGCTGCATCCAAATTGGGTCCCGAATTTAAAATTACTACAATAGTTGGGTCCCGAATTATTTTAGGTACTATACTATTTGGGTCCCGGATTTTTATTTTGTTTTTAGTTTCTATTTCATTAATTTTTATTTATATTATAGAATGATTTTAAAATGTTTAATATTTTTTAATTTACCTACATGGCTATAATTTATCAATCTGTCGACAATTTAGAGATAAATCTGCTTTAATTACTTTATATAATTCCTTAGTTCGATCTCATTTTGATTATGCACTATTTATTTGGCATCCATATTCTGTAACGCAAAAACAACATCTAAATGAAATTCAAAATAACTTCATAAGATTTTTATGTTTTCAATGTCATATTTATAGAGCTCCACATTCTCCCTACGATATCACAATAAATTTCTTTAATATGCTAACATTAGAAAAACGATTTATGCAGCTAAATTAAAATTGTTATATAAAATACTTAATAATTTGGTTGATTGTCCCGAACTGTTACAAAATATAAACTTTAAAATAAATCCAATAAACTAACAATAATCTTTTTTATATTAAACACACCAGAACAAATTATGTGTTAAATTCACCATCAAGCGTATTAATATGTGCTGAAAATTCAATGAATGATCTAAATTTTTTTACTAAATCCGTATCGGCATTTATGCTGTATGTTATAAGAATGATTTAATAATTTATTTTTATTTTTTTTTTTTTTACTCTCCTATAAACTATAAGCCTATTACTATTAAATCATTATTTATTATTATTACTATTATTATTGTTATCACCACTTTTATTTGTATTATCCATTTATTGTTAATGTTGTATTATTATATTATATTTAAAATTGTATGTATTAATATTGTAATTGGAAATTATTTCCGTTAATAAAGATATATTATTATTATTAATTATATTATATAATATGTATTTTTATATTTGATTTTTAACATTTTTAATATTTTTACTAACACAATTGTAATAATTTATATTATGGAAAAGAAACTAAAAAACAAAAAAACTATAAAAATATTTTTAACCATACCTGTCGTTTAAATAGATCATAGACAGTTCTAAATCTGTTAAAATGGGAAGGAAAATGTTAGTATAATGAAGTATTTACAAAAAAATATTCAGGAACTAGTGTAATACCTAAAATAATTCAGGACCCAACTATAGCGTAGTACCTATAAAAATCCAGGACTCAACTAGTGTAGTACCTACAAAAATCCAGGATCTAACTAGTGTATTACCTAAAATAATTCGGGACCAAACTAGTACACTACCTGCGATTAGCCCCTATTACTCGGGACCCAACTCGGATGCTCCGGTAAATTTGGCCCCGAAAATTTCAGATAATAAAAAAGGTAGGTTGTAATCGGGCAATACCCGTTAGCGTACATTTGACCTTTTTTGTGACTCGTTTGCATACAAATGTACAACTACGCATACGAATTATTAATATCTGCAATAAATGATCCCAAAACGTAAGACTCGTTTGCGTACATAAACTATAGCAAAAGTCTATTAAAACCCAAAAGAACTAGCAAAAATAATGTTTAAGATTGTTTTCAAACATTTTCCTTTTCCTTTTTACAGGCTTTGGATTGTCTGTTTACAACAGGCGTGATAAAAAATGTCTTTTTTTTTTATTCATTTAATTTAAATTAAATTTTTCATGTTATTTCAATGTTATTTTTTTTATTTACTATTTTATTAATTTTAATGAAATACTTCTTTTTCGTTAATTGAACTAATTTATCGCTATAATATTTTGTGCCGATTTGTTTTAAATATTCCAATCGATTTATAGATTTGTTACATATTTGTCTGAAACATTTTTCTAAAAAAATTTATTTATTTATGATGTCTTTTCCCTGAACATTATTAATACTTTTCTTTATTGAATTTAATTTCTATCTGTATGAGTTAAATTTAACGAAATATTCTCCATATTTTGTAAAACCGAACGTATCAATTTACTTGGAAGTATATGTAAATCATCATTTGCTTTACGTTTTAAAAAACTTCTTATAATTTCTCTAGAAATTACCTGGTCAGTGTGTGCTTCGTGATTATGTTTGTTTGAAATATTAATTACCTTGGCAATTGATTCATTCACTGTAACTCTTGATGTATATTTTTTATTGGTACATCTAAAAAAACAGATCACCTGATTTTAGAACACAAAACTCACTATACTTGTAGTTTTCAATATTAAAACAACGTTTTCCTCTGCGCGTTTCAAAAACATTTGAATAGATATTTGAATATCCATGGTACTAAACGAAATATAACAACTAGCATAGCGTCTCGATATCATCACATGTTCAACTAAATAATAAGCATATAGTAATATCCAGTGATCGTCAATAACGCACACATTTATCTAAAATCACATTATCGTTTAGAACCGCACACCAGTTAATCAAAAATGTTTGAGATTACGTGTATCTTATCGAAATTTGGGTTAGCCAGGTTTTCACGTTTTTCGATGTACTAATATAAGTCTAATTTAATTTCTGTACGCAAACGAGTCGTCATTTTTCAGGTCAAAATTTGTATTAGCCAGGTTTTCACGTTTTTCGATGTACGCAAACGAGTTATTATTTTCCAGGTAAAAAATTGTGTAATGTGCGCAAACGAGTATTGCCGTTGTAATCTTGGCCCGATAATGTTTACCAATAAAGTATAATAAGCACGACATAATTTAATCTGCAAGTAATAAATAACGTTGGTATCTATATCTTATCGTGAACAATTTGTTGTTAACTAATCTTAAAATATATTATACATTGAGACAAATAATTTCGTTTTCGTATTGAACTTTTGAAACGACGTGTTTTTACAATTGTGACGATGGCACGCATAGTTGAATCCCAACGTGGACGAACACTTTTAGTTTTAGACCATTTTAAATAATCGAAAGTAACTCATCCTTCAGCTTCAAGTGAAATAAAGTTGCGATGTATAAACCACAAATGAACAGCTTTTTTAAAAACGTTATGAATAAATAATGATATTATGGAGAAAAATGATGATCATCTGCATGAACCTATCTGGGACCAATTACTACAAAGACAATGTGTTACCACCGTGACCAAACGCAAAGGAACTGAGAATATCTGCAATAGGCCAAACAAAATTTTTTGTAATGCAGTAAACAATTTACCTGATACGCAAAATCTACAAGTGATATTCGGTATGTTAAAAGGAATATATACAACGCCTCCTCGTGGTGTCCTCTGGGTAATGCTAAATGGTTCTCAAAAATATTATAAGAAAATTATATGTCCGGGCCGAGTTTACACCTAAATTCTTTTTACCTGAAAAAAACACGGACCGTGTTTACAATAGATATTTTGAAAATTTTTTTCCTCGGTCTGAGATTACAATCGCCCCGATAATCATTATTCAGCTGTCGCTCCCGCTGAACGTTTAAATTGTTTAATTAAGTACAAATTAGTTACCAGAGTCCAGTTACGTGTTTATTCACAAATAGTCTAACTTCTAAATCCTAAGATTACCACTTAATTACAATCTAACTTGAAAAGAAATTAAAATTCAGGTTAGTAAAATTATAAATAAACATTTTAAATTGTTTTGCTTTT